AACGTAATGTTCTTAAGTTTTCACTTTTAAAAAGAGAAGTTCACTCTCTATTTGCTTTTAATTTAAACAATGAAAGACGTTTAAAAACTTTTTTAGGTCAGAAAGATGTTTTGGAAAGTTGGAGACAATATTATGATATCATCTAGATTTTACAGTGCTAGCACATTGTTTAATCCTGACGGAACTTGTCTATAAACCCTTTTGAAGGTTGCAGGCGCTTTTTCGTAATCCAAATGGCATACGAGTGAATTTCCTTTATTTTTTTGGTTTTGGTTTATCCGAACGCAAGTCAATAGTCGACATATAAGGTGTTGACTTAGCTTCGTTAAGCAAGTCATCCACCCGGGAGGCAAAGGATAACTATCTGGGACGGTTTGAGCTTTCAGCTTCCGGTAGTCTATGCAGAGACGCATGTTGCCATTTGGTTTTGGAATCAAAAAAAAGGGAGAGCGTACGGAGATTCCATTCTACTATGATGCCTTGCAGTAGCAGAAATCTAGCTCTTTCTTCAACAGCTCTTTCCTGGCGGGATTCATTCGGTAGGGAGGCACAAAATTGGGTTTGTTTTCAGTGTTGATGCTATGTTCGATAAATGGAGTAGCTTCTCCCTACTGAAGATAGGGGTGATGGTTTTTAAATAAGCTGTCCAGTTCCGCAGCTGAGAACCAAGGAGTCTTGTCCTTCATCTTCCCTGAGTTGAAGTTATTTATCGCCACAGGCCGTACATTAACAGAAGTACTCTGGATAAGGCGTCACGAAATTGTACGTTTTTCGGGAATCGTCACAAAAAGTCCAACAGTTCTTTCGAAATTCAGTACTATCCCAGCATTCTCAAGAAAGTCAACCCAAGTAGAGTGGAGTTTTTTTTGGCATCAGGCAATATTATAAAGGGTTTTAAACTTTTGCCTTCCAGTAGGAGGTTTGAAAGGTACGTAGAACTTCCTTCTGGTAACGAGTCCATCAGCAAAGGATAGAGATATGGACGTCTTCTAAAAAGCAGCTCCTTGTTGGAGAAGGATATATAAAGAGTTCTCCTGCAATCGAATGATTTGCACCACTATCCGCAAATGCAGTTCCTAAACTCCGTTTATGCTGATTCTGAGTACGCATTTCTGTTCAAGGAGAGAGATGCTAACCTTCAGAATTCCAAAATGAGCTGGATCACCCTTTGAAGGATTGCAATCCAGGGCATTTTGACTTGATGTACCGGGCTTTCCACATCTATAACAGGACAGGGATTACGGCTCTCAACTTTCAACAACTTTCCTCTAAATGATTTTCTTGGTTCTTCCTTTGCCTTATCCACCGTTCTTGTACCGATTTGCTTATTTTTTTTTGAGGGGAAAGTTCTTTCTTACGTCTGGTACAACTTTATGGTTTTGACGTCTTACCTCGAGCAATTTCATAATCGTCTAATTTTGTACAATTCAGGAGGAGCTTTAATATCTCCCCAGATATCCACGAAGTGTTCTTTAACTTCCTTCGAAACTCTTTTTTCTTAAGCTGATCGGTAAGAAAACCAAATCCCAAGGAAATTAAAGTCTTTCACTTCTAGGCTATGTAGCCATCCTTCCAAAAAATTATTAGTTTGTACCGAAGTCCTTCCACAAAGCGCGGTTGTTTTTTAGAGTACGAACTTCATTCGAAACGATTCAGCACTCAACTTGAATCGTTGGAGTAGTACTTGCTTAATGTGCTGGTAATTTTCTAATTTGTCTTGGGTCCACGCAAGATAATATGAGAAATGTCAAGGTAAATATAGGTAGAAGGTGTGTTACATAATCGACTTCATCTATGTTAATTCCGCCACCTGCCTTCAAATATTTTAAGATAGGTGGGAAAAATCAGAATTTCCACAAATCTGGGTATGAGGTGTTTGATATTTATTTTTTCTGCGGGAGTAGCACTATTTTGTTGAGTAGCAGCGCTTAATTCATGCGTTCTAGTTCTAAAATCAGTCCCTCTTGTTTTCGCTTGTAATCATTTTCCTCCTTTTTGTCACGTTTGGCCTGAACCCTAGTTTCAAATTGTTTCTAAAAGGGTTTTGAAACTGTTTATCATAGTCTTCGAAGTTAGTTAAATTTTTAAAGTCATTACTCATCATTTCTCCTATTTGAGGCCTAATTCTGTAGCTAGTGTTTTTAAGTCATCTTTGCGCGCTTTAGCAAGATACGCCATTGTTTTAACTTTAGAAAAAAGGGGTCAATATAATAAGTCCGACAGCCACAAATTAAATGCAGTTAATTTAATTTTAAAATAGTTACCCTTTATAATTGAGCATCAACTAGTCATTAGAAGAACAAGAATTGGATATTCGCACACAATACTATTCAAAATATCTTTTTAAATGTCTTACAGGAAACAAAATCAAAGTTTGAAAGCAAAATGAAAATTCAAGTAAAAAGTAAATTTGATGAACTTAGTCAAAACAACATAAAAATTAATCCTTTGAAGGAATAAAAATACTGCTTAAAAATGTTGTAGATATTTTGCAGAAGGCAAAATCTTAGCTTTGAAAATAAAAATAATTCACATATAAAAGAAATTCTGATGAAATTCAAAATCGAAACAAAACCTATGAATGAATCTTTTGAAGGAATAAAAATACTTTTCTCTACAATACTTTTTTTAACAAAAAATAATAACAGTTTCTTTTTTAAATTCACAAAAAAATCTAATATGTGATCAAAATTCTTAATATAATTTGAAATAAAACACAGTAAACAACACTTAAATTCAATAAGAAAAGGTACCAAACAGGAAATATCAATCTCAGTACACTCTTTTCGTCATAATGAATTAATGAGTCAGCAGAAAAGTGAAAAAGTATGATGATTAATAAATTTTTCAGAACAAAAAAGTGAGTTTGTATTCTGAGTTCCAAGTAAAAATGAACAAGAAAAAGAACATCTGATTTTCTCAGCAAGGGTGGGGACAGAAAATCGGGGGGGAAACCCTTTGTAACAAAACGAATAGTTTTTTAAGAAAACAGGCAGTGAAAACTCAAGGTCAGAAGTGGGGGTAAAATTCCCCAAACAAGTACACTAATAATATAAATCACAGGCAGGGAGAAAAAATTGAACAAAAAAAGTAGAAAGAGTTTCTTACTAGAGAAAGGAATTACTAAATAAAATAGACTATTAAATTATTATGGTTATTATATATATCAAAAATACAAATACACAAGAAAATTCAACAAAAAGTCAAAATGAATAAGAAAACAAAACGAAAGAAACTTATCTGACGCGCGATCCGTGAAAACGAATGCAATCAAATTTCTAATTTCCCGGTAGGAAATAAACAATCCAACTTCGTAGCTGGCAGCTACAACTTCAGAAAATACTTTTAGAAATTCTTATGAACTAGCAGTTCAGAATATTGAGGATAATTTCGTTAGACTAGCAGTCCCTATTAAATTAACTTCCTTCGTGCCACTCGCTGGGGGCCATTTTATAACGTGTACTCAAAAATACACCGGGGCTAGCTCAAATAATTTTAATTTTTTTTAATTGAGCACACAGTTACAAATACATAAAATAAAACCCAGTTAACCTTTATACAAATACTAGGGGTTGGCGAGGGCAGACATTGGCATGTCCTTTCTTCACCGGGGGAGGCAGGTGATCTCTAGCACGTCCTTCCTTCACCGAGGTAGCAGTCAGACTCGTTACTTTTTCATAAGGCCAGGAGAGGGCGCTCTATTACCATTCGTTACAATCTTAAATTTATTCTGTGTTATTTCTGTAGTAGTAACAACTAGATAGCTAGGGTTTAAAAATTAAAAACTGAGATTTAAAATTTTTTTTCCTTTCAAATTAAAATATGCTATTTAGTGTCACTTCTCCAGATTAAAATTAAGAGGAGCCCCCGGACTTGTAAAATTTGTTTGTATAGTTCAATTAGTGATAGAAATATGCTTAGTTATATATATCTATGGTATTGTATAACCTTACAAGAAATATACAAGTTAATCCGAATAAAAAAATGCCTTTATGAAGGGTTTATATGGTATTTTATGGATTTTTTGAAAGACTGTAGTTTAGGGAAATATAACTGTGTGTGTGAATTTATTTTTAAAAATCTTCACCAAAATTGTAACTTATTTCAATAGGTTTGTTGCATGTATGTTAGAATGGTAAGAAAGTACATTTAATAAATGTTAGAACGGTATTTTGAATTAAATTCAAAAAGCTTATTTTAAATATAGCCTATTAAATAAAAATATTCACGCTTTTATTCAATTCCTATTATTAGTTCACACTTTCCCTATATCATACATAATTAATATATAATAATATATAATATATATAATATATATAATATAATATATATATATATATATATATATATATATATATATATATATATATATGAAACCGTAAAATCCGGCGTATAACGCACCCATACTTTTAAGTTACATTTTTGATTTTTAGGTATATTCGCTGTATAACGCGCACCCCTTTTTACGAAGGAAAACCTTGAAGTGTATTTTGTGCCAATGTATTGTTTTGAAATCATTTTTTCGAGATACTATCCCCTGTTATGAAAAGTAATATACTTCTAGGACTACAAACCTTGAGTTCCTTAGAAATATCATTTATTTTAAATAAATAGTATTGCGTTCTATGTCAAGTCTTAATTTTGATATGCTCATCTATTTTCTATTTTAAAAATTTTCTTTTTTTACCCGCGGGAAAGCACCCGTAAACTTCGATCTTATTTTTTGAGTTCAAAGTGCGCGTTATAAGCCGGATTTTACGGTATATATATATATATATATATATATTTATATATATTGTTCAAATTTTCAATGGTTAAAAATACTTTTTATCTATCCACTCAAGTTTAAATACATTTTTTAAACTTGTCGTGGATAACACTTGATGTTAATTCAGTGTTTTCAAATATTACTTCATTAATTAAACTTAATTAATGAATAAATAGTATCGAAGAAAAATAAAAGTCCGACATCATACATAAAAAGGAAAATCTCTCGTTCTATCTCTGTTGCGTAACGGATAGCGCGTTGGACATCTTTTCCAAAGATCGTGGGTTGAATCCCACCTAGGATGGCCTAATTTCTGAGAATGTGAATTACTTTTATTATACTTTTATTGGATTAATTTAATTTAACTAATGAATAATTCGTAACAAACAAAAATAATAGCCAACACCCTATATAGAAAGGAAAATTGCAAGGAAAATCGTTTTCTATTTTGCCACTTAATATTACGATTCTGTCCTATGTATATACATACTTATATTAATTGAAATTATTTAATAAAAAGTAACTAATAATAAAATTTTTCTTTGTTGACTTAAGTAAGAATTGATTTAGGGTTGTTTTTTTTGTATTACTTGTAAACGTAAATTTACAAAAATTTGTTATAGATCTTAACCTATGTAAAAACCTTTTATGGATGAAATGCCTCTCTGACATTTAATATTATTTTTTTCTTCAACTGGTTATCACCCAAAAAAGTTTACCCAGTCTTTTATTTTTCCCTGTTTCTCGCGCGCTTATGGCACAGTACATACAGACGAAAGGAAAGAAAGGAATTCTTTGCTACTTTGGTCGAGGCTGAATGTTATTTGTAAAGGTATCTCATTCATGCGCCGTGAATGTACCGTAACTAATGTACGTAAAAAAAAAAGGTTTGCTGATGTGACTACAACGTGAAAGGGGTTGTCATGGTTATCCTCTAGTTAAAGAAGTCAAGGACTTTTATCGTCTATTTTAAGGTAAGGTCTATTTATTTAAATGTAAAACTATGAAAACAAAAGTGACAAAATATTCCTATGATTGTATAATGTTAACTTACTTCTGTAAAAAGTGAGATGAAAATAGAAAGAGTTTAAAAACAACACACACACAACTAACTGCTTTCTATTCAGCCAATTAATTCCCTAAACAAGTAATACATATAAAAAAATTAAGTCGATTTCTACTTAGGTTAACAAAGAAAATTTTTATTTTAGTTACTTTTTAAAATATAATTACAATTAATACAAATATATATATATATTTATATACATATGATAGAATCAAAGTATTGAGAGTGGAAATAACGAAAACGATTTTCTTTTTTTTTTTGCAATTTTCCATTTTCTTTCTATATGGTGTGGGACTATTATTCATTATTCATTACTTGTGTTAATATTTATTCATTAATTAAATTTAACTATTCCAATAAAATAGTATGGTAAAAAGAAATCACATTGTCAGAAATTAAGCCATTCCAGGTGGGATTTAAACCCGCGATTTTGGGGTTAGAAGTTCAACGCGCGGTTCATTGCGCTACACGGACAGAACGAGCTGTTTTCCTTTTTATGTATAGTGATGGACTATTATTTTTGTTTGTTACTATTTATTTATTAATTAAGTTTCATTAATGGAATAATATTTGAAAACACTGAATTAACATCAACTGTTATCCACTATAAGTTTAAAAAATTTATTTGGACTTGAGTGGATGAATAAAAAGTATTTTATTAACGATTGACAATTTGAACAAGATATATATATATAAATTCCAATAATTTGAATTTTCATTTGTGTCCAGAATCTGGCAATAACTTATTTATTGTACTCAGGTGTAGCGCGGGCACTGCATTTTTGAATACAATTTTTAGGTAAGTTACCTTTATCTTGTAATGGATTTAGATATTCTATCCATTATTTTCAATAGGTTTTTGCTCAGTATTATTAACATAAAGGGGAAGGTTGACTGGCCACAAAACATATTCAAACCTACTTTTATATAAATTATTTTATATATAAGCTGTCCTAAGTCAGCATAGTTTATAATTCTGTAGCATCCTTTTTTTTAATATTTTAAACCCTGTTATAATTTTATTTTCTCATATCTCCTTCAATGTCTGGTTATCTAGAAATTTCAAATATTTTTGGTTTAGCTTCCTGAATGTTCATCTCTCTTTAATAGACTATACATATATATAGGAAGAGTGTGAACTAATAGTAGGGAATGGGGGATGAAGAAGTCACATGGACCATAAGACAACTTAAGAACACTTTCGTGTTGCGACTAAAAAAATGCAAAAAGTCTTAGTAAATTACAATTTTTTTGACGAACGATCTTCTACGAAAATATACAGAAGATTGACAAATTTCAAATGTTTTTATGTAACAGACTAAACAAAATCAAGACAATCAAATGATAAATCAATTACTTGTTCTCCTTTCAATTCAAAACTGACATTGAACTTATACTTGTTGTTCGACTTGTAAAGGTTAGATAAAACTTCAAATTTGATAACTTGGTAAAGATGCTTCAAAAATGAAGATTTTTCAAAAAAAATTTTCAAAAATAAAAATTAAAATTGCATTATACGTCAATTTTAATATCGTTTTGTTTACCTATGTGCATTATTACTTTTTACATATAGGCATTTTTTAAAAAGTTTCTGTAAAAAGCAAAAGTTACCAACAGCAAAGCGTATGAACTTATTAACTAAAAGACCGGCTGATTTATGAGCTGATTGGCTGGAAACACGTGATTACAGTTGTCATGCAACTATGATATCACTTTGAATTTTTCCGTTCTCCTGAGAGAAACATTATTATTAAAAACTTACTTCAAAATTAAAAATGTTTAGGTAATGATCATTCCATCTTCACATATTTTTTTTGCTATGTATTTGTTTTAATTTCAAAAGAAAGGAGCTCTGTATAAACAGTAAAAAAAAAATAATAATAATAAATTTGTGAGTTCTTGTCGTACATGTACAGTGAAATACGTTTAACGCGAAAACGCTGAAGGCGAAATATCAGTTAATACAAAATAATGCAACGGTCCCAAAAAACTAGAATGTATTTTCATGCATTTTTTCTTAACACGAAATAAAAATCGCTTAACACAAAAAGATTTTTCTTTTGGGAATGAACAAAATACGAACAACATAAGATACTTTGTGACGGGGCTTTATCGGTACTTCTTCTAATAATCCTCTTGGGGTATCTTTGGGGCCAGAATGGCAATTCATTCCAACCAACCCAAGAAGACAGAGTGGTTATACAGATTAGGAATAGTTTTTTTGGAACGTTAGTATCCGCGTTGAGTGCTAAGTGGAGAACTAAAGCTAAGTGAAGTGAGGTAAAGCTCTAGGTGAAGTTCTAGGAGAAGAGTCTTAGTGTATTCCATGAGTTCTATGAGTCGGTCTAATAGTGCCAGTGAAGCTGATTAAAAAGTGGGTTCGAGAGCAGAAGAGCATTCCCTTAGCCGGATCAAGTTGGATCGAAGAATAAATTAACGATATAAGGACTGTAGCTGTTCGCCGAGGAAATAGCGGTAAGACAGTTTGCTTAAGCTTTAAGACTAGAGCGGATTCTAACAAGTTAAGAAATCACCTATAAATATAGATACAGTGGTTTATTGCGCTATTCAATATTTATTCGCTATTTCTCATAATTACGCATCACTCCTGATCATAAGCCTCCTATACTAGTGTTGTTTTATTGAATATAAATTAAGATCATACTAAACTAATTTTATTATGGCAGAGTTTAGTGGTCAATCCTTCATTTCCTCAAACATAGGTCGCGTGGATGGTGAAGAGATAATACCCCTACCGCGGTGGATATCACAACTTAATGAAATGTTTGAGAAAGTTTCTGTATTATTGAACTGTTCTACTGTATCATCGGAAGAATCCGTTTGCAGTAGATGATGATAATGTGTGTACAGCCCCAATTATGGCAGAGTATTTTGGAATTTGTTCGAAGTTCAAAAAATATCATTGATGCAGATTTTGGTGACGAAACTGAACTGAATGTATGCTCCTGTTTGGACGTCATCTGAAATGAGGAACATGATGAAAAGTATGCACAGTTATTTCGAAGCACATTCCAATGGTGAAATCTGAGCTGGTTCATCCAATGGGCGTTTGGGGTGTTGCGCCCAAGGGCCCGATATAGCTGAGCTTAACCAGGTTTTCTAGTTATAAATTTCGATCCGCCAACGCCAAGGGTGGGGCTTGTAGATCTTCTACGCCCAGGGTCCGAAATGATCTTAAATCAACACAAGGTTAAATAAATAAAAATGGACGGTATCGAATAATTGGTAGACATTTTGATACTAAAAAAGACAATGCAAAGAAGCATCAGATTATTTTCTCAAAACTCAATAAACGTTTTACTTTTCAAAAACGTGGAAATTTTGTGTTAAATTTTATTAAGTTGTGGTGAATTATTTTGTTTCTTATGTAAATAAGACAGTATAAAGATACAAAAATTTCACATTTGTGTAAATAAAATGTTCTCTAATAAACTTAATTTTATTGAAGATATGTTTTTTTTTCTTTCGAATATCCTTTATCAGGAAAAAATCTTTTTCTCCCCCTCAATTACGTGTTAAATAATTTTCACCGTATTTAAAACCTGCCATTCAGAACGCATACATACTCAACTAAATTACATAATCTATAAAATACAAGCATGAATCATTTAGTCAGTGCTTCTCAAAGTTTCAGTAATTGCGACCCAATTTTCGATCATAATTTTCATCGCGCACAATAATCGCTATACAATAATAATGTATTGAATTCAATAATAATGTATTTGACGCTAAAAAAAATATTTTAATTATAAACCGTTCAAATGACATCTGTATTGCATTTTGTATATAATTTTGTATATGACAAGCCCATGGGAGTCAACAGTAATTATTAAGATATCCGACTACGTTCGGAACAGTGATTTTGCAAAAGCGTATAAACGGATAATATTTATGATATTTAGTGTCACTTATATTAGAAAATGTATATAAAATTGTTTAAAGAATATTGTTACAATAAAAAATTATTTATGTACAATATTTTGACAAAAGAGAACATAGAATGCCCCATTTTCAAAATATTCTTTTTTTGTGAAAAATGCTTCTATTATCATAATATTTTGCCTGTATATAGATCAGACCTCTCTACAGAGGATGAACTAGAATTTTTGAAATATATAACTTAGAAGTGGGTTTATCTATATTTTACAACAACAGAGGGGAGAAATTTTAAGAAAGAAACTCCGATAATGATAATTCTTTCAACTGGTGGTAACTCT